TGCACAGAGACCCTGTACCTTGTGTTTAGGGGAACTGAAGTTAATAAGGTTTCGCTGCGCTTTCATTCTAACTGACATCTCATAATAAGCGTACTATAACTTTCTGCTCAGCTATTGTCCATTGATGCGTTGGCTGCTCTTTCGTTTTTGTAGCCTTTCAAGTTAAATATCTTCTTCAACTACCCCGATTCTTTACCATTTGGGCAAGTACCAGGGACTGCATCAAAAGGCATTCATGGCTCTTCATTGTACACTAGTTATTTGACATGTAGATCTGAAGCTCGTTAGTCTTAATACTTGAATATCTTAGTAATACCTGAAAATTAAAATAACATTTTTATGGGGGGTTATTTAAACTGCAACGTTTAGCTTGTGCTTTTGTGATAATTGAGGGTAAGTAATTAATGCAGTTTAGATTGATGTTGCATCATGCGTGTTGTCACTGTTCACACGCAGGCAAGATGATTTTGTATTCTTTGGATACTGAAGGTGCTGTAGTATATGTATGGTAAAGACTTGTACTATGAAGTATCATAACAATGCGCAGCGGAGAAATTTTTCTCTGTACATTAGGAGTCTGTGACATGGGTGGGTTAAAAAAATTCCAGATATCTACCAAAAGGAATCATAATTTGTGGGCAGTGAGATCCGTCTGTCCATATCCCGTTTACGTTCCAGGTTGTTTTGCGATTCTTTAATTTTAAATAGCAAGTTTTTGAAAACTTACATTCAAATTACTGCGTTTAATCATAGTTATTTATATTATGAAGCTTGGTTTGTAGCAGTTTTCTTAGGTTACCTTTGCGTTATGCCTTATGCGCTGCTTTACAGCGCATATGTTAATTAAATATATCCTTGGTCCTAGACCTAGTGACCATCAAGGCAACGCAGGGCTTTATGACATTTTTGTGCCTGCGGCATGTCGAATGGGTTCACACAATGCTAATGGATTACAGTGATACGGTTTGTCACCATTAATATATTAGGAGCCGTTACGAATTTTTTTCACTTTCAAAAATATGGTTGTGTAGAGAATCGGGGTCATTAAGTAATATTGCGTCAGCCGCTTTTGTGCAGTTATGCATATTAACTCAATTGTTGCTTTGGGACCTTTGTTTTTATTTTTGATTTTGCCGCGTAAGCATGTAACATTACCAGCACCTGAAACAACCGATGTGAGAAAATATTGTTTTGACCAGTAAACTGATAGGATATATATAGATTTAGGACACATGCTGAAATACTGCAAGAACGGCTTGCTTAATTGAATTACGGGGTTGGGTGGAGTTACAGACATAGTGTAGAGTTACTGGTAATGGAATAAGATAATTATGGTGGAAGAAGATAGTTACGGATTTAGTAACAGATGCCATAAATCTGTCTACTCTAGTTGAGTTCAGTTAAGTTTATTAGCGTTGTCCTGTCATTCGCATCCATATTTCTGAGGTTGTTGGCAAATGTATAAAGATCACTATTTCCTGAAGCAACATTTTTAACAATTACATACTGCTTTAGCCATTAAAATAAACATATTTGTCTCAAGCAACCCCGCTGCTTTCTACTTCCACTACTTCAACGGGTGATAGGAGGGTTACAATAACTGAATCTCGAAGTTCTGGCAGGTTCACAGCCATACTGTGTAAGCATGAGAAACATGCGTGGCCAAGTGGCAGATGCATCACCCACTAACTCCCTTGTTATGCTCACTTCCGAGAAATCACAACTGTAACGATGGTCCTCATTCCCCGAAGGCAGCAGCAACCATGAAGACAAAGGGTCCTAACTACGCCGCCTTTGCGCATCGCAGATGCTACGGTTCAGTAAGACTGGTAATGTACAATTACAGATCATTCCTAGATAAAGCAAAGCTTCAAGAACTGGACGAAGAACTTGGGAAAACCAAGATTAACATTGTACGACTCAGCGAAGTTAGATAAAAGGGATAAAAGTTGACGTTTTGGCAATCAGCTAGAGAGAGAGAGGAAACTATTAAGGGCAACCGAAGGCATGAAAGAATTAAATTGAATATTGACGGTCGGTAAACAACAGATTTTAGTTCTGATAGCGGAAAGGCAAACTGTCATTAGAAATAGAAGAGATTTTAAGGGGAATGGAATATTTCTATAGAAAACTATACAAAGATGAAGAGAGCAACACCCAAGTGCACATATGAAGATGGCGAAACTCCAGATTTCTTGCCAGAAGTGTGACACGCAGTAAAACAGTCAAATCGAGGAAGGACCTCGTGACAAAAGTGGCATAAGAGTGAAACTCGTGGAATCAGGGGGCGAAACATGGGCCAGGATATCTGCGCGCCTGTCTTCAGTCTGTTTTAAGGAACTGCAAATTTCAGGCGATTGGACTACTGCATCAGTGATGTTAATCTACAAAAAGGGAAATACAGAGGGTTTCAAGAACTGCAGACCAATCAGTTTGTTACTAGTCATTTACAAGGCCTTTACGAATACATTTCAAGAAAAACTGAACGCTGCACAGCCGAAGGACCATGCAGGATTCATAAGTGGATTTAGTACGAAAGATCATCTCTAGGTGGTACAACAAGCAATTCGGATAAGCAAAGAATATAAGCTTCCTCTTTGTCTGGCCTTCGTCGATTTCGAGAAGGCTTTTGACTCGTCGTACATTCGTTCTTTATTGGATTCGTTGAAGAGCCAGGTAGTCGAGGAAAGATAAATAAACCTGATCGCTATGATTTAAAAGAATGCAACTGCTAGTATTAAGCTTCACGAAAGCTCAAGTTCAAAGTCGAAAAGGGCGTTTGATAGGGAAACGCAACATCACTGACGTTATTCACAGCAACTCTAGAAAAAATTTATGACAGCCCGTTTTGAAAAATCAGGGGCTGAATATAAATGAGCACTACTTAAGCCACCTGCGATTTGCGGACTATATTTTGATCCTCTAGAGGTCACCAGAAGAACTCCAAAGAAGATTTTAATAGCTGAACGACACCAGCAAGAAATTAGGACTGCAGACGAACCTGAGACTACGGACCTGGGCTTGAAAAGGTGGAAAACTGCATGTATCCCGGCGGACTGCTCATCTCAGTAACGGAAAACTAACTATGCGAAATCAACAGAAGAACAGTAATAACATGGAGCATTGTGGAAGATGGAAAATGTCCTTATGGAAGTGGCTGCTTGAAGCGGAATTTTTGTTATCAGTGTGTCCTCCAAGTGCTAACTCGTAAGTGCGAAGGTGAATCCCCAGTCTGAAAGCTATTCATAATCGGTGGATTAGGTATTTATGCATCGAAGGATGTATAGTGGGAATAACAGAAAAGATTAATGAAAGGGTAAGCGCAGAAACAAGAGTCCGCGACGTCATTGCTCAAGTAAAGAAGATAAAGTGACAGCGGACAGGACGCACTGCAAGAAGAATCGACCATCGTTGGATATCAGAAATACGCTAGACTGGATTCCATGAGGACAATAGTGCCAGTAGAAAAACATCGAGACCGATGGCAGGATGGACTAAACAAATTTATTCTATCAATATGGATGAAAATGACAGAGAATATAGGTCTGTGGGGAAGTCTTGCAGAGGCCTTCGTCCAGCAATG